CCTGCTCGCGTGTTCCTCTGCCTGCGCTCATGTGAATTGGCTGTGTTAATTTCAGGCGTATGCTCATTATTCCAGTTCAATTCTGATGCTAGGTGATAGATGCGTCAACTTTCTGTACATTTGTTTCACTTGTCGCCTGTTAATAACCTGCATGCCCCCCTTAGCTGACTGTACTAGTAACTTGCCAGCTCTGACACACTGTTCTCATGTGTGCTGTGAGCTGCTTAGCGTATCAGCAGTGTTTCTGGACTACTGAAACTACAGAGAAATGCACCGGTAACTTAAGGCCATTCACTATTCCTTTCGACAAGTAAGCATCAGTGAATTGGATAGCAAACTGTATTTTGGAAGAAGAAAATAAAGGTTCCAACCTGTAAAAACAGATATGTTTAATTTAAACATAAAAAATGATAAGTTTCTGCCCATGGTACTGACGGTGATTCCACTGAAACTAGCTCCTAGGACCTTTGCAATGTTTTGACATCTGATATTTTAGGTCTGACTTCACCATTTTATTTATAATGACTTCCTGCCCCTGGTGATTCGGTTACCCTGGCTGCGCAGGGGAAGAGCGAGCAGATGATGGAATACATCAAGAAGGTTCGAGCCTGTATCAGATGGCTTCTTGAGAGGGAAGACGCAAATCTTGCTGAAATCGAGAGGATCAATGGTCAGCTTGAGGCGACACACAAACAACATTCTGAGATAGGTACCAACCTTTGCAATTATCGCACCATGGATACTTCCTTTCTTCTACATTCTTCTGACTGAATTTTTTATTGCTTCATATAGTGGCTGACTTGGAGAATACTATTGAAGAAACAAAATCAATCTGCGAGGAACTTCAAAAACAAGTTGCATCTCTACAAGAGGCTCTGAAGATAGTGGAGGCCGAAAAAATGGTGGGTGACTTGTGCTTCTGGCTTAATATCATCTTATTACTCTTGTGTCACTCTCAGTTTCATTAAAAATGCAGGATGCCCTGAGGTCTCTAAGAGATGAAAGGGAAGCAAGGATGGGTGTGGAATCTTTGCGCAATGGACTTTTAGAAGATCTGAACAGGGCAAAGTTGGAGGACAAACGCCTCAATGACCAGGTATAAGCTAACGCCTTTTGTGAATCTCCCCTTCCATAAAAAAACTCCTTTGAATTATTATTTATCAACCATGCAATCCTCATTTGCTACTGTTTATGTTTTGCTTGCTTGTTGTTATCCTTAGATTAAGATGCTTCAGGACACAAATAAGAGGCTTCAAGAATATAACACAAGCTTGCAGCAATACAATAGCAACCTCCAAGCAGATGCAACAAAGAATGCTGAAACAATAGCAAAGCTGCAAAAGGAGAAGAATACTATGGTCGAGACAATGAATGGTCTGAAAGATCATGCAAACTCGGTAAAAATGCAACTAGACATCGCAAAGGTAAAATCTCTGTTACATCCTGTCAGTATGCCCTTTCTTTGTCCATGATTCTTTTATTGGATTTGTTTATAGAGAATTATCCTGATGTCTTGATTATGCTGTTGTCTTTCTAGTCTTTGCAAAATGAAGCTGCCAAGCAAAAGACCGATTTATTGAAGGAAGTTGAAAGTCTTAGAATGGAGCTTCAGCATGTAAGGGAGGAACGTGACACTAAATCTGCTCAAGTAGATTCTTTGCTGGCTGATATTGGAACATACAAAGAAATGACTGGAAAAACTGTCATTGAGTTAGACAGTGCCATGGCAAAAACCTCTGCCCTCGAGGTATGACTATGTGTCTAGATAATTCGATCATTATCTAGATAATTGAAACTGGCTAACACGTTTTCAATGAAATAGGAAACATGTTCATCCCAAAGAAAGATGATAGAGACATTGGAAATTAAGCTTACAGCTGCCAATGAAAAGTCAAAGGTGTGTACATGCCTATTTCTTCATTAATCATTAAATATAGTGATGTTGTGTTACATCTCAGTAGGTACAAGTTTATCTATATGTTTATTACTGTATCAAGTGTCACACTGTGTAGGAAAAATATTGCATAGATGTTTAATATCTTGAACCTTCTCTTAACTGTACAGAGGTCTGATATGACGGCATCGGAAACCATGACTGAGTATGAGAACATGAAGAAAATGTTGGAGAGTGCTCTGTCACGCCTTGAAGAGGCTGAGCAAACAATTCTGGACGGAGAGAAGTTACGGAAAAAGTTACATAACACAATTCTTGTAAGGAATTCTCTTAAGGTCTCAAAGATCCAGTATATATACATATATTCTGTTTGGCTATTCCTGAATTTGTTTCTTTGCAGGAGTTGAAGGGAAACATCAGGGTATTTTGTAGAGTAAGGCCTTTGCTGCCAAATGAATCAGGAGCGGTCTCATATCCAAAGAGTGGAGAAAACTTAGGCCGAGGCATTGAGTTGTTACATAATGGTAAGAGTCATGTTTACATTCATTTTTGTAGTTTTAGACTTTGATACAGTGTATTTAGAATATTGATTATGATATAATTGCATTTCTTATTATTTCAGCACAAGGATATTCATTTACTTTTGATAAAGTATTTGATCATTCGGCATCACAAGAACACGTGTTCATAGAAATATCTCAACTTGTCCAAAGTGCCCTAGATGGCTATAAGGTACAGCATTTGGATGGCTATAACTGAGATTACCTTTACTAACTCTAGAAAAAAAAATGTTTTTTGCTTTGTTTTTCCAATATCTAGTTTTCTTGGAATGCAACTAAAAAATGGTAAATCATTTAGGTTTGCATATTTGCCTACGGGCAAACTGGTTCCGGTAAAACATATACAATGATGGGCAATCCTGAGTTAGAAGATCAAAAAGGAATGATACCACGATCTCTGGAGCAGATTTTTCAAGCTAGCCAGACACTTAACTCACAGGGTTGGAGATATAAGATGCAGGTGTGTTTTTGGTAATTTACTTCTATAATTGAACTAACCAGTGAACACGTTTTCTGTAACTGTTATCCTGGTGTATTTTTAACTTTCAGGCATCAATGTTGGAGATTTACAATGAGACCATACGTGACTTGCTTGTGACGAATCGCATGGCTGCTCAGGATGGTGGTCCTTCAAAGTACAGTATCAAGCATGATGCCAATGGTAACACAACTGTGTCGGACCTTACGGTCGTTGACGTAACTAGTATCAACGAAGTTTCTTCTCTCCTCAGGCGGGCTGCTCACAGCAGGTTATACACTTATTTATTTTCAAAGTTTCAGCATTAAGTATTTGGTCATAAGAGCATATAATAGGAAAATCCTACTGATCATGAGTGTTCATTTGTGTGCCATCATTTTTTGGCAGAAGATGTGTTATATGATGTAGCTGTGTAAAGAAGTCACTACATTATATTCCGTTGACTGTCATCATGACAAGACTTTAGTATTCATTGGATCATTTTTTGTATTTAAACTTCAGGCGTGTCACTTGTTTGATGATACCCATTATATGGTTATGATCAACTCTCAAATATAAAAAAACCATGGTACCAATTGATATTTTCTTAAGCAAAAAGTAAATCTGGATGCTGAAGATAATCAGCTCAGGTTTAAGTTCTTCACTATCTACTTCACTGTGTACTCCATACTAGTTTGTCTTTTCAGCACAGATGCTAATTTTCTTAAACCTGTATGGTAATATCCTCAAGTTTCGATAATATCACTGTAATTGTGTTCTCAAACTTCTTTTTGAGTTCTACATTTGAGAATTGACTGCTGCAGGATGAGTCGGTTCTGGTGCATTGAACCTAAAACAGTTATTTATTCATTTTGTTTTCAGATCAGTTGGGAGAACACAAATGAATGAGGAATCATCCAGAAGTCACTGTGTTTTCACTCTTCGGATATTCGGTGTAAATGAGGTATATTCTTATTCACATGTAACATTGATTGGCATGTTGTCTTTTTGTCTATAACTGACCATTTTTCTTTTCAGGGAACGGATCAACAAGTGCAAGGAGTGCTGAATCTTATAGATCTAGCAGGCAGTGAGCGTCTGAACAAAAGTGGTGCCACTGGTGATCGGCTGAAAGAGACTCTGGTAATTTGCCATCTGGTTCCTTAGCATTGTTTGTGTTTTAACTTATATATATATATATATATTCTGTAATAACGAATAAGCATGGTTTTGTTCCGACATAGGCTATCAATAAAAGCTTGTCATGCTTAAGTGACGTCATCTTCTCGATTGCAAAGAAAGAGGAACATGTTCCGTTCAGGAACTCAAAACTGACATATCTGCTCCAGGTATTCCCTTTTCCTCAGTAACTGGCACTCTTGTTCCAATCCATTGGTTTCTTTAAATGTATCAAGTCTTAACTGATCCTTTTGGCCCCTTTCCAACACAGCCGTGTCTCGGAGGGGACTCCAAGACGCTGATGTTTGTGAATCTTTCTCCTGAGGTATCCTCGACTGGGGAGTCTCTTTGCTCACTCCGGTTTGCTGCAAGGGTGAACTCCTGCGAGATCGGGATCCCCCGGCGCCAAACCCAGACGCGGAGCTCACAATGACGAACAATGGTGAAGTCTGTTTGCCTGTGGATTGGCAGGTTCCATCTGCCTGTGGGCTGTGTGGCAGTGTATGTCTGTGTTGATTTGGTGATGCAACCGATCATTTGCATCCGTTGTTTGGAGGTGGTGTGAGTTTGTGGCCTTGTTGATTGTGCTAACTGATGGCAGCGGTGTGCTGGCCTATTTAATCTTAGGATCTGATTTGATCAAACCTGATCTGATTTGTATGTTGGCATGTGTTTCTTCCATTTTCTTTTTACTTTCATTCTTAGTCTTGATTTGTTGTTGCCAAGTGCCAATGCCTCTGAGCTGGGCTGGGCGTTTATGTAAACAACTGTCTACTGTCTGACATGCTCAGTCTGACATGATAATTATATTTTCCTGCTCTGTGAATTCTGCCTGTAGACAGATACTACCAAGATAGGAGTATTTATTTATACATCATCATATATATGAATGAATTCTGGCATGGTTTTGCTAGGCCATCTTCGCCATGAGCTCCTGGAGGATGACCTTGGTCTCGGCGTAGCGGCCGCTGATCCTGTCGTCGTCCTTGGCGGTGACGGCCTCCTGGAGCGTCTCGAAGCTGTCGAAGAGGCGGTTGGCGAGGTCGACGAAGGGGGGCTTGTCGGCGGCGGCGGAGATGAGCTTGTCGAAGTCGTAGTACATGAAGGTGGACTTGAGGCGGAGGTACTTGTTGACGTAGTTGGAGGCGTCCTTGCCGAGCAGGTCCTCCAGCGCCAGCAGGTCGAAGGCCGTGCTGCGCAGCCGGTACGCGTGCGCCGCGAAGCTGGGGCCGATGTCCGCCATGTAGATGCCGTTCTTCAGGAAGGACCGCGTCCCTGTGTCGGCGTTGTTGATCTCCTCTGCAACAGAGAGAAGAAAGTTTTGCCAATGGTTCAGAAGCTCGTCAGTGCTTGTGCCTGTGTTTACTGAATACTGAATGAACAATCGTCGGTCTGCAAGTGAGTGGTGAAGCAGCTAGGATGGCTTACTGTTGACGATCTTGGGCGTGGGCAAGGGGAACTCGGTGAGCCACCAGCCGTTGTTGGCCGGCTCCTCGTCGCCGGCGTCAGTTGCGGCGGCGACGGCGCGTGGGCGGAGCGGGACGGCGCACGCGAAGCTGAGGCCGAGGCCGAGGCCGACGCAGGCTGACCTCCTGGACGGGGACGGCTGCTGCTGGGAGGAGGAGGATGAGGAGGCTTGGCACGTCACGTGCATCGCCGGTCGGCTCGGCCGGAGTAGACGGAGGCTGCCGCCGGAGAAGGCATGGCAGCTGCTTGCGGCCGTGGTGGTAGCTGCCGGCGGTGCGTTGAGATAAATGGCCATGGGGACGGACGACTCGGGGGAGTGGGGAGGGAGTGAGGAACTAGGGGGTGTGGATAGAGCGGGCGACCGGCGACGGGCGACGGCATCATCAGATTCAGATCAGAAAAAGGAAAAAGGAAGAGAGCGGCTGCCGGCCGTCTTGACACCCTTCCGTTCGGATGAGGTTTGCCGTTTGCAGTTGCCACCAATGCACCTAGGAAATTTGGGCTGGTCTCTTCTATTGGGCTTTACTGGGCTCGCGACCTTGTTACGTTTGTGCTCAGTGCCTGAAGCGGCCAACGGGCCTTAAACTCTTAGCAAATTATTAGTAAGTAGATTATGCGCGGGCCATGCACCGACGAGCTCCTGTGCTCCTGTCCAAACACAAGCAGAAGAGAGAGAAAAAAAACACCTTCACTTGCTGGATCAATCGTTTTCTCATTTACCGCAGTCGCAAGGACTAGGAGATATAGGAATACGAGGAGCCAGCCTCCATGGCAGGCAGAGGCTCAAAGCCTCAAGCTTTAATGGCGGTGGCGGGTGCTCACAACCACACACACCAACGAGTCTCCTATCTCCAACTACTACCATACACAATCCTGCCGATTCCACTTTTCAGTTTTCCATTCCTCAACTGCAAAACCATTCACGTTTCAACCAAGCTGTAAAAGCCCTTGACCCCAAATTACAGTTTTTAGGTGTCATTTTAACGTGTAACATGGCCAGCCGTTTCTCTAAATAAATATATGGAATTTACTAGTTGCTTGAAAGTTTAGAAAAATGTCTAGATAATTTATGTATTTATTATTAATGAGATGAAGAAAAGTAGGACTCTAAACTTAAATGAACCTTTTTGTTTACAATGTTGATGATCCTGAAATCCAGACCAAGTTGATTTATGTTCCGGATAATTATTCGCTGATTCCACTTTCGGCCTTGTTTGGATGTGCATGTATTTGTCTCAATCCACATGTGTTGAAGTTGATTGGAGTGAAATTAAACTAAGTTCCATACCAATCCACTCCGACACATGTGGATTCAAATGGATACATGCGTATCCAAACAAGGCCTTCCAGTTTTCCATTCCTAAACTACGAAACCATTCACATTTCAACCCTAAGCTGTAAAAGCCATTCACCTTTTGAGCTTTGGCATTCACTCAAATTTACAGTTTTTTTAGTGTCATTTTAACGTGTAACATGGCTAGCCGTTTCTTTAAATAAATATTTGAAATTTACTAGTTGCTTGAAAGTTTTGAAAAATGTCTAAATAATTTATTTATTTATTAGTGAGATGAAGAAAAATAGGACTTTAAACTTAAATGAACCTTTTCTTTAAAATCCATACCAAGTTGATTTATCTTCCGGATAATTATCCGCAAAATAAACTTTTATAGGAAAAAGGTTAAGTGGTATATAAATTTGGACACCATTCCTAATTTGGCCCTCTAGTTGCATTATTGGACGGCTATCCTGTGTCGCCCCAAAGCCAAAGGGAGTAATGACTCACATAGGAGCTCAAATAGATTATAGTTACGACTTACGAGCAAGTGTCTATCCAACTCTTAACCCTGATCCATTTTGCAATCCTTTTTTGAGTCCAACTCTCAACCGTCAGCTACAAAACCATTCACCTTTCAATACTCGTGTGTAAAAGCTCTTCATTTTCCTCATCTACTCGTTTTTAGAGTGGTTTTAGGTGATATCGGCGTGTCGACACGACCAACGATTTTCTTTAAATCAAACATTTGAAACTTAGTAGTGTCTTTGAAAGTTTTGAAAACATTCTAAATATCGTTTTTATAAGTGGGATAAAGTATATTCTGTCAAAAAAGTGGGATAAAGTATAATAGGAGTATTGGACCCCAGAATATCTAGAGCTTCAAACAAAACTGAACCTTTTGTTCACGCACTCCTTCTCTCTCTAGAGAATTTATTTTCTCGATCGTGTTCTTGTGACAAGTTTTTCATTAAGAAGAAGTAGAGTTTAAATGGTTACAATCATCCCAAGTAATCCAGAGATTACCAAGTAGGGAAGTGACCCCAACCCATAAAAAGAGAGGAACAATGGCGAAGGGAAAGAACCCACAACCCCAAAACCCTACTAGCCATAACCTGCAAGAAGATACATCAACGCAAAAGTTGCCTATAGGGCAGACCAGGCCACGGTGGCAAAGCATCCGTACGAGCAACCCTGGCGGCAAAGCATCCGCTAGGTGAGAGGCCCACACATACTCGGTAGCAAAGTATCTGCTAGAGAGGGGGCCCAAGATGTGATAGCGGCAAAGTATCCGCGAGGTGAACCCAGAGCAACCATTGCGGCAAAGCATCTGCAAGGTGAGAGGCCCGCGCAGCCTCGGCAGTAAAGTATCTGCCAGAGAGGGGGCCAGAACAGCGACGACGGCAAAGTATCCGGAAAGTGAGAGTCCCACACCAACATGGCAGCAAAGCATCTGCCAGAAAAGGGACCAAAGCCAATAACAACAAAGCATCCGCCAGAGACCAAACGACAGTGGCTAAGTCAAAGCACTCAGGTGTAGGCAGACTCTGGGGACGCTGGACAATGCACACGGAGTACTACTATGGGCCCGTTTGGTCGGGCTGCCGCTCCTACACTATAGCACTGTAGCACACAGGAGCTAGAGCCCGGGAAAAAATCGAGCTTCTTCGGCTCTCGTGAACAGTAGCTGGTGTCAGTGAGAGAAGAAAGGAGGAGAGAGGAAAACGGATTCGATGAACAGTACAGTGATCGACACAGTGACTTGTCAGAGAAGCCGGAGCCGCCGGAGCCTGGCGCTCTATGGTTACGGTTGTACTACAAGTAGTAATCATTTATTTATTACTGAATTTCGCCCCATTTTTTTGAATTTTTTTATTTTTAACACTTATTATAAACTAAATTTAAATCTAATACTGTTTTATTTTTTTCCACAAAACTAACATTTTTGCCCGCGCCTATTTCCCTGGTGCGGCGAAACGCCTGTGACGCGCCATGCATGGTGGCACGGCGAGAGGGATGACCTGGCGACGACCGGGGGTGCTGACCAGTAACGTGGCAGGGTCTGCCGTGCCATCCCTCACAGCGCGACAGTCCTAGGTAAATATCGCTCGTGAGCCGCCCTCTCTCTTTCTGCCTTAACGCGGTGGACGACTTCCGCGCCGTGCCCTCCCGCCACTCCCAAGTGTTGTCGGCGCCCGGCCCTCCGTTGCCGCCTCCCTCCCTCCCTCTCCTTCCATTCCCTGGCGGGCGCGGGTCGCGCAAGGGCATGAGGACATAGTGTGCCCTAGTCTTCTCAGTATCAAACCTCCCATTCAGTGTGAAATCACCGCCAAACTTTGCATTCAAACGGACACAAAGGTCGTTGAAGTTAGGAGGTTCATCAAACCATTCCAATTCTTCTTCCACACTACAAGACATGTGTGGTTTTTTTACATTCTATTTATGTCAAAACATATGGAATTATTGTCACAACTTAAGATTTATGACTTTAAGTTGATAAAAATTCAAACGTCAAAAAACCAACGTCACAAATTGATCATATGACGTTTGTATATTTATTGTCACAAGCTTATGATATTGCTTTATTGTCACAAAATTCTAGGCCTTGCCACATGGCAACTGACATGGCAAAAAAACGTCACAAAATTAGATTTGGCCTGCTAAAGCCCACGTAGCTCAGGGGCCACAAATATTTTTTGAGCCGTTGCTGGCTAGCCCATTATTCATTTTTGTTTTTTTTATATTTTTTAGGATTGCAGCCCATACAATTTTCAGCCCACACAATTGAGCCCATATATTTTTTCAGCCCAAACATTTTTTTGCAGCCCACATTTTTTTCAGCCCACAAATCACATGTTGGCCCAGCACACTTTACATTACTGAAGGCCGAGATCAATATAACAAATCAACAATGCAATTACACATAATTTACATATCCAGTGGCATTTTAACAATGATCAAAACTAAAATTACAAAAACATTATCTTATTCTATTAAGACCTATATTCCTGTACAAAACACATGCGGCAATCTTCCATATCTTCCAACACAAGGACCAGCGCAATCAAGTTTTCTGGATTTTCCTAAAATCAGACGAAAAAACACCATCAAAATTACACAAAGTCATATAATAAGAAAGCACTAACTCAGTTTCCAACCGCTCAAATAAGGTAGATGTAGGCACAGCAGCACAAGCACTTGACGCATAAAAGAACCTGCCATAGAAACAGTCAGAAATTTAGAACTTTGATTCAAGAAATTGAATAAATAGATTGTTGAAGCAGTAAGCAGCAGCTAGTTACCATAATCTTATATGCAGTCCTAACAGAATGTTTTCTTAAGCAGCAGCTAGTTACCATAATCTTATATGCAGTCCTAACAGAATGTTTTCTAACTCAGTTTCCAACCGCTCAAATAAGGTAGATGTAGGCACAGCCGCACAAGCACTTCATGCATAAAAGAACCTGCCATAGAAAGAGTCAGAAATTTAGAACTTTGATTCAAGAAATTGAATAAATAGATTGCTGAAGCAGTAAGCAGCAGCTAGTTACCATAATCTTATATGCAGTCCTAACAGAATGTTTTCTTCAATCCCAACACAATTTCATACTATCGACCAACAGTCTAAGCCTAGGGTTTGCTGCTTTGTTTTCAGAAAGGAAAATGATACAGTCGACCAACAGACTAGAGCCAGTGTTTGCTGCTTTATTTTCACTGCAAAAATACTACCCTCTTCTATATCTAATCTATTCATTAAAAGCACTTTCCAATACCTGCAGGCCCGGATAATAGATAGTAAAGGAGTCTAATCGAGGAACATGACAATGAAGTTTGGATTTCACAAATTAAACTCTCCATCGAGTAAAATTACTGTCACCATATCGATATGCTGAAACAACAATACTCTATTATATATATGCATCCACGACAAGCAAGAAAAAAGTGGAGAAACTTGTACCGGAACAACAGAAGAATTATAAATCACACTTAGCACCAATTTCAGCAAAGGAAAAAGGCATGAGGTTGAAAGTTATGACTGCTCGTACCTGAACAACACGAACGGATGTCAGTCAGTTGCTGAACAGCTTGCCATCGACAACGGAGGCACTTGCCTTGGACGCTAGAGCACTGTCCGGTTCGCGCACGCGCAGAGAGTCGCCAGAGGCCTTGTGGCTCTTGTCCACGCCGGATCTCGGTACCTACAAGGTGGACCGTGTGAGGGGGTAGAGAGAGAGTAAGGGACAGAGAAGATTCGCTGACTCACTCTGGGAGATAGAGCCCCGCCAGATCCAGCTACATGACGCCGCAGTGACGCAGGGAGCAGCGATCGGCAAGGCTGCACATCAGGCGACCACCACCCCCGAAATCCTTTGGATATAGCACGGGGTCACAGTTTGGCAAAAAGCTAACAGCCGGAGCAAGGGCAGGGGAGGGGGTAGAATCGTGACCTGAACCATGTATGGCGGTGCACGCATCAGGGCACGAGGAGGCGGCTTTGGACGAGAAGTTTCAATTCTTCTTCCATATCCTTAAACATACCATCTTCTCTTCTAACACTTCCTCCGTAAAAAACTCTAATACAACAATCTATCTATAAAAGCATTTCAAGAAACTTTATCAAATCATCAAAATCGTCGTAGGTAATACCCATAGTAATATTAATACCTATTCTAACTATAATTATACTAACTAATTTAATATTAACATATATACAAGGCTAACTACAACAACTAATTATACTAAATACAATGTATAACTAGATTCACTAACTATATTAACTAAACTAACTAACTTTACTATCTATACTAACTTGCTATATTGCCTATACTAACTAAACTAACTAACTTTACTAACTATACTAACTTTATTTAATTTACTAACTAACTATACTAACGATGTCGATTCAATCAACAGATACACTAGGGGAGTACTGGCAACATGGCGCCGTCTCATCGGGCGGCGGCGACGAGCTAAATCCTCGCCAAAGACTGTGCGCTTTCGTCCTCGCGGCGGCGACGACGCTGCTTAGGCCGGGCGGAGGCGTGGTTATTCTCGGCGGCGGCGGGTGGACACAGGATAGAGAGAAGAGTGTGCGACAGTTGGGAGCGGTGTCAATGTGACGATGAAGAGGGCAATGTGGTGGCGATGCAGTCTTTGCAGATGAGGGCGGCGGCGGTTGTGAAAGAGGGCGGGCGGGCGGCGGAGGAGGGGTGGCGTGCCGGCGTGCGGGCACGGCGGGCGGCCGACGGCAGGCGCGGCGGGCTCGAAAGCACGGCGGGCAGGCGGGCGGCGCGCGGGCGTGCGTGCAGTGGGCAGGGCGTGGCGCGGCGGGACTGAGCCGTGGGCCTTTAGCCGGCTCTGCCGCGCCACCGATCAGGGCGCATCACCGCCGCGCCATGATGCGTGGCGCGTCACCACCGTGCCCTGATCGGTGGCGCGACAGAGCCAGCCATGTCACCGGTCAGGCGCCTGGTCCCTGCCACGTGGGCAAGCTTGTCGCGCCCCCATGCATGGTGCGGCAACTTTAATTTGCCGCGCGCGTGCGAATAGGCGCGGCCAAAAGTGTTAGATTTGAAAAAAAAAATCATGTCACATCGAATGTTTAGATACTAATAAAGAGCATTAAATATAGATTAATTACAAAACCAATTACATAGATGGAGGCTAATTTGCGAGACGATTTTTTAAGCCTAATTAATATATCATTAGCACATGTTAATGTAGCACCAAGTTGTCAAATCATAGACTAATTAGACTTAAAAGATTTAAAAGATTCGTCTCTAAATTAGTCACAAGTTATATAATTAATTTTGTAATTAGTCTATATTTAATATTCTATATGTATATCTAAACATTAGATGTAACCGGAATTCTAAGAGCGCACCTTGAAACCAAACAGCGCCGTAGTATCGCAGTAGCAGCATTCCTACATTTTCCTTGTGAAGCACAAGGTCAATCCACCATGGGCCATGGCAGGCAGGGAGGCCGGTCTCATGCGTTAATGGCGACGACCGACGAAGGGCCTCTGCCACTGTGTGTGTGATCCAATCCCAATCTGGACCGCACAGTTGATCACCACTAGCCGGTCTTGTGTGACACGAGTAAACTCCACCTCCATTGCTGAGAGCCTGAGAGTGAGAGCAATCAGCTTCCCAGGCAGCCACCACCAAGGCGTCGAGTCGGAGTGTCGGACGGCTGAGAAGCAGAGCAGAGCGGCAGCGGCCATGCGGGGCGGCTGCTACGTGGGCAAGGCCACCAAGATCTTCCTCGCCCTCTTGGCCGCCCTCGCCGTCGTCGGCGTCGTCCTCGCCTTCCGCGCCGTCCTCCACCGCGCCGCCGCCAAGTCCAGCTCCAACTCCGCCTCATCCGCGTGCGCCGCCGCCGACGCGTGCCAGCCCGTCCTGCCTGACACCGACCCCGCCGTCCAGCAGCCCGCCGCCGCCGCCGCCGCCACGGCCGCCCGCCCACCGCCCACGCCCGCGCAAAATCCCACCTTTCCCTCCCCGGAAGCCGCCACCTGGCCGCCGCCGCCGCCCTCGCAGCCGATGCCTGTGCCCGAGACCCCTCTGTCGCCGCTGCCGGTGCCCGTGCTCCCACCTCCCCAGCAGCAGTTGCCGCCGCCGGCACCAGTCGTGCCACCACCGCCGGCAGAGATCGCGTCGCCCCCACCCGCACTCGCGTTGTCACCGCCGGACCTTCTGCCGCCGCCTCCAACACCACCTGCGTTGCCGTCCCCTGATGCGCCGCCGGCCGCCCCAGAGGCGCCCAGCCCAACGGCGTCTTGACTCATCCTCGATGCCGACGAGCAGGGAAGGAGCTGCTGCACAGAGAGAGGGAGAGGTGGATTTGTTAGAGGAGTTAGCTGCCGTTGATGTACTGTTTCTTCAGCTTGTCCTATAATTCAGTTGCAATTTTGTTGAATTTTCAACATCGCCGTAAGGATCTCACAAAATCAGTCTGCGCGCGTCTCTCTTGTCCAAAAATCTCTTCTGTTCTTTACAGTTGGTTGCAATGTGCAGAATCTACATTCTTTGATGAGAATTGTGTAGTGTTTCTCGGGGAAATTCGAGTTTGTGGCAGTACTAGAATCACTGCTTTTCACACCTGCGTGCATGTCGACTGGATTGACATGAATTGACCATGGAGTCTGGTCTGGTCACGGTCTCATGGAGAGAGTAATCTGTCTGACAGCAACAGATGCATGCGTCAATGGCCATGACCTGGGTGTTTTTTTGATCATCTGGCCATGACCTGTTGTTGACCACCTTGGGTTGTAGGAGTATGAGATGAGAGTGACCTATTCCTCGGCTCCACAGATCTACCCACTACTCTGCATCTATCAAGCACACATGACAGCAGTGCTTCTCTAATTTGATCTCTAGCGCCTCCACTTGCAGCAAAAGAAACAAGAGAACAGCTAAAAAAGAAACAAGAGAAGAGGAGCTGCCCAGAAATATTCTGCTATAGGAGTACTTTGGTACAAGTATATCCATGTTTCTTCTGCTCACTCAATCACATCTGGGAGTTAATAAAAGGTTAAGAATGCAGTGGCATGATTTTTGGAGAATTGTGCACAGTGCGACATGCACAGAGCTACTGCTCACTCAATCACTCCCATTTGAGTTATCAAAAAAAATATCACTCCCATTTGTTTTTTTTAAGTTAAAGAATGCAATAGCATGAACATGTGTAGCAGACTAGGAGTACCTGCAATGCCTGAAGAAATGCATGGCAGCTACTAGATTCCATTCCACTTTTGTGAAACAGCAGCTCATCATCATTTACCTAAAAGAGCTCAGCAGCACTTGTAGTACAAAAATGAGCCCCTTTCATTATTAGAACAAGAGTGAAAATTATTACAAGAGAAGAGCTCCAGTCCTTTTCAGGAGAAACACCTGTCCTGAGTTTGGCAGCAGACAGCAGTTCGTTCTTCTGATCTTCCTCCATGGTCTCTATATCTTCTTCACTCAGAATATGCGGAGAACCTTTTAAGGAGTTTAGTTTTTTTTTAACCAAAAAAGCTATAAAGCTGCATGGTGCAAAAGGGTGACTGATGCTCTTGTCACATACCCTTTACCTTAGGAAAAGGTTGAGATGTAGGGAATCAGGATGAAGTTTTCTTTTTCTCCCTGTGAATGAAAGAAGAAAAGCTACCGCAGCTCTCTATTATACGGAGTAGTATCAGATGGAGAAAATCTTAATATTTAGCAATCCTTACCTGTCGCCACATACCAAGTCCATGATGGTGTCTTTTAGCCAGTTCGCTTCTTCGTTTTAGTCGGGGCTTATCAGCCTATAGTGTTTTTCTCTCATAACAAACCAGCACCAAGTGAGAATTATCAGTCCAGAAACCAACCAGGAAATAAGATAACAGAGCAACAGGCTTTGCTACACTACGGGCGTGTTTAGTTCCGAAATTTTTTTGCTTTTGGCTACTGTAGCACTTTCGTTTGTATTTGACAAAAATTGTCCAATTATGGACTATTTAGGCTTAAAAGATTCGTCTCACGATTTCTCGGTCAACTGTGTAATTAGTTTTTTTTTCGTCTACATTTAGTACTCTATGTATGTGTCGTAAGATTCGATGTGACGAATACTGTGCAAAAATTTTTGGATTCTGGGACATCTAAACGGGGCCTACATCGAACTGAGACATGCAAGCAAGCGAACTGAACCGAACACGTGAGGACAAGGACAGGAGGGCAGAGTGTCGTTTCTTCAGGTAGCTTCTCTCAGGACCGTGCCGATAAAATTTGAGGCCCTGTACTAAACTGTAAAATGAGGCTTTATCTTTGATAAAAAGGACTACAATAATTATCAATTCTACATGCATATCTTATATACATATTAACCTTAGAACACTAGCCGTAATCATACGAAGGAGAGATAGTTATAGTTCACATAATGATTGTCCGGAAAAAAAGTTCATATAATGATACCAAGGATAATAAATTCAAATCGAAGGAAAAGATTAAAATGACCTAGGACCTTTTTTATAACAGTCCTGACTCATACCTGTTCCAGTGCTAATCCATCATGAAAGTTAACGGCATGGGCTTGAATTTATCCCCTATAGCTAGGCCTATAGCTGGCAGTCACTAGCAGTTTGCACACACCCGGTGATGAACTAAAAATGAAGTGATGGTTGGTAGCTAGTAAATCCAACAAAATTAGAGGCCCCTGATAATTAGAGGCCCTGTTCCCTCGCACCGTTTGCACGCCCCTCGACTCGACACGGCCCTGGCTTCTCTGTAGGCGCATGCAATTTTGTATTTGGACTAGCTGAGCTCAGCTTTCTCTGAACTCAGTAATGGCAAATTGCCAAGCATCAGTCAGTAAACAGAACCCAATTAACGCTGAAAGAGTGAGGATAGATTTATGCCATCAGCAGAGTACAGTCAACCATGTGTTGATGCCGAAAATCAACACAGCAGTCGTCAATGAGAAATTGCTTCACTTTGGTAGAAGCGTCACGACTAGTTTTCGAGCAAACTAGTAAAGGGATAAGTTCTTCGATTACGGAAAAGAGTAGAACTGGCTGTTTTACTAGCAAGAACAGCAAAGGAAGATACTCTGATGACGCTGGAGCACGCAGCTTGTTTGTGAAAAACTAGCAAAGCATGTCTACTGACCTAGGTACGAAAAAATAGAAGAAAAGTAAAAGAACGGTAATAATAGATTTGTTTTGTGTTGATTGTGTAGAGACTTTTCCAATTGGCCATCACCTTTAAATAGGCGGCTGGTCTTTGCCGTAGAGTATCAGGACTCTTATATAAACAGATACGTACTAGTACTACTGGTGCATATTACATCACATAAAATAAAATAATAATATCTCCTGTAGTCCTGCCTAATTCGTTTCCTTGATCCGTTTGGCCCTGCATGGTTGCACCAGGTACATACGACACAAATAGAAACTGCATCCTTTAGCTAAAGGATTAATCCGTGAAAAGCCAAGGCCTAGCTGAAATTGACTGGTTCTATGGAAGAGAAATACTGTAACGTCTAGTTGATAAACAGTGTTTTGTAAGAAGAAGCAGCCGGTTGAGAAATACTGTAGCGTCTAGTTGATAAACAGTGTTTTGTAAGAAGGAGCAGCCGGTTGATCTAGAAAAACCAGACCAACGAACGGCGCTTTTGCATGATCTCCTTTTCCGGTTTTTCTATATTGCTTTCTTTTCTTCACACGTGCACTCCAGCAGGCATAAAATAAACTGGCGTCCGACCTCCATGTTATGCGTATTCTTGATCTGTAGCATGCCAACTAATTATCAATAACCTATATAATTTGGCCAATCATACTCTCCAGCCAAATTACACTATCTACACATGCCCCCACTGTTTTCTGTTTTCGGTACAATTGCATTTACTGAAAACACTGTAGCAATCAGTATTGGCCCCGTTCGCTGGTCTGAATCTTGGCTGAAACTGGCTGAAAAACACCGTTCGGGCTGAATTGTTGTGAGAGAAAAACACTATTCCGGCTGAAAAAACAAGCCGAATATGAGGAAAGCCGAACAGGGCCATTGTACCTTCAGACATGTCAATCGTTTCGCCAGCCACACCGCCTCTTAGGGCAATGTCTCCATAATACATTGGCCAAATATTTTCCTCAGCCCAATATTTAATCAACATATCGGCCATAGTACTATCAAGCAGCTTGCCAGACACTAGGATCACTACCGGGAACGGGAGCTTTGCCGTGTGCAAAGCCACGAATACACTCGGCAAAGGATTTGCCGAGCGTAACACTCGGTAAAGGGCACTCGGCAAAAATTTATCGGCAAACTAACTTTGCCGAGTGTTTTTCGTCGGGCACTCGGCAAAGACGTTGCCGAGTGCCCAAAAAACAATTGGCAAATATTTTTCGTAAGAAATAAAAAAAATTCAAATTGCCACGCCCAAAAAACAAATTCCCACCACGGCCACCACGCCGCCACCGGCCGCCTCCCACCACGGCCACCACGCCCGCTACCGCCCCACGCCGGACGCCGCCCGCCGCCACGCCACCCGCCCGCCACGCCGCACGCCACCCGCCGGATCCGGGAGAGGGGAGGGGCGGCCGCCAGGATGCCGCCGGATCCGGGGGGAGGGCGCACCGGATCTGGGAAGGAGTGGAGGAGGGGCGCCTGGGAGAAGGGAGGGGCGGCCGGGAAGGAGGGGTGGCCGGGCTGCCGCCGGATCCGACCGGGAGGGGAGGGGCCGCCGCCGGATATGGGGAAAGAGTGGAGGGGGCGGCACCGGGGTGAAGGGGAGGGGGCGGCGGCCGGGTGAAGGAGGGGTGGCCGAGCTGCGGCCGGGAGGGGAGGGGCCGCCGCCAGATCCGGCCGGGAGGGAGGCCGGCCGGCGTGGAGAAGGGAGGGTGGGCTTGGCGCATGCGGGAGAAGGGAGGCGTCTTGGGGCTGGGGCCTGGGAGAAGGGGAGGGGTGTGGGAGAAGGGGAGGGCGGGGGTGGGTGGGTGCTGAGTTATAGTAGGAGTTTTGCTTTACCAAGTGCCGGATGGGAGGCAGTCGACAAAGCTTTTTTTTATATTTTTTTTCCTATCTCTTTTTTACACAGTAAGTAGTTTTTTTCTTTTGCCAAGTGTCCTAGATCTGACCACTCGGCAAAGTTTTTTTTTATTTTTTTTCTTCTACTTCTTTTCTAGAAAAAAGATTTTATTTCTTTGCCGAGTGTCCTAGATCTGGGCACTCGGCAAAGTTTTTTTTTTATTTTTTTTATTCTCCTTCTTTCCCAGAAAAAAGATTTTATTTCTTTGTCGAGTGTCCTAGATCTAGGCACTCGGCAAAGTTTTTTTTTTATTTCTTTTCTTCTCCTTCTTTCCCAGAAAAAAAGATTTTATTTCTTTGCCGAGTGTAAAAAAGAAAACACTCGGCAAACCTCCTTTTTGCCGAGTGTTTTTTTCTTGACACTCGACAAACCTCCTCTTTGCCGAGTGTTTTTTTTTGCCGAGTGATTTTAGCGCAACACTCGGCAAAGAACTTATTTGCTGAGTGTCCGAGAGAATACACTCGACAAACATAAAAACACTCGGCAAATTTGACGTTTCCGGTAGTGGATATCACTTATTCACCTGGAGATATGTTCCTATACACCGTATATGTCTCTCTCTTCGTGGCAGACAATAAGATCCTGAAGCCGCTGAAAGCTGCATGCACCAGATGCAAGCACGAGCACTTAAAGCAATAATCCAATACTGATCTTGTTTATATGTATTTTACCCATCGTCTCGTGCTTTTGTTAACTGATCAATCCATTGTTCACTTAATCGGCAAAGGGCTATGAACACGATTAATTATATAGCAGCCGAATTAATCAAAATAATGCACAAAGGATTAACCTAACAAGAATGTCAAATTTGGCTATTAACAATTGAAAATAAAATACGACCTGAGCCAAATTTGAGTGCCAAAAAATAAGCATCCTTCACTCTAAGGACGATGTCAACACATTCATCCACCATATTTATATTTTTGTGCTAAGGATGATCACAGAATATCAGCCATACTTATAATTGTTCTAAGTATGATAACAATTTATTTACCAGCCATATGTTTGTTCTAAGGGCGATAACAATTATATCGGCCAAGCTCATATTTTTTAATGATGACAAACAAAATACTAGTCCTAAGTATTTTTCGAAGGACCATAGTTAAAATATCGGCCAAACCATTTATTTTGTAAATAGCCCAAAAGAAACTAAACAGCTGAATTACCTAATAAACAAACCAACACTAATTACTCGGCCATATTGACTGACATGTAGTTTGAAGAACTAGCAGCCGAGCGAACCTATAACAAAAGAGCCACACTAAAAACTGCTCAGCTAATAGCATTTTTACATGATGGCAAATATACGGGTGAAATATCACTATATCCTTATAAATATGTAAATAAATAAATGCAAGAATAGAAATAACTTTAACCCCTAAATATTTCGGCTTTTA